CTCGGTGAAAGAAGCGGGGTTCGGCTTGCTCTGCTCTGCAGCGGGAGGGATGCTGCGGGGACTGCAGCGGGCGCTTTAGGGGGGAGACGAGTGCCCTGCAGGCAAGGTACGCCCGGACGGCTCTGCCCGGGGTGTGCTACCCTCCCGCCTGGAAACACAGGCGATGTCTGGAGGAAAACGAGATTAAAGCGCGTGTTTCCTGCAAATTCAGGGAGTGTTTGGGGAATCGTGCGAGCCCCTCGTGGCGCCATGGGCCAGCTCTGGCAGACCCGCTCAGAGTCGCCCGCGACGAATCCACGCTGCAGACGACAGCGGCTTTGGGATGCCGGTGAAACAGCCCGCGCAGCTATTTATTATTGCGCTAGATTTAGACCACGGATTTAGATATTGATTGAGTCTGAGCCTGCAAGCAAGGAGTGGTAATTAGCACATGCAACAAAGAGCCAGCTTTTAATTAAACACAGCTTAGTGAGAAGGACCTGTTACAGACAGCTCCCCGCGTACGGGGGGGAACGCGCGCAGGAGGGTTTCGGAGCAGGACCGAGCCCGACCGGCCGCCCTGGGACGGGGGTCCCGCAGCGGGAGGGCTCAGCCCGGGGGGTGCTCTCCTCCCCGGGGGCCGCCCCAAGCCAGGCGCCTCCATCCCCGGGGCTGCGCGATGCCGCTGCCGGCACCGCTGCCCACCCTGCCTCCTCCCCGAACCACCCGCCCTTTCTTGCCACTGCAGATAACCAAACAAACAGCATGGAGAAGAGAATAATATTAATATTAAAAAGGCATTTATAGTTTTAATCAAGCTTTGGGGGGGGGTGGGGGTGAAAGACAGCTTAACACGGCACTTTACACAGTTGATAAAATGTTTGACATTTACTGGTGCCTGTAATGAATCTTGTCTCAATTTTCTCTTTTAAAATGCCACTCCAGATACTCTATCTATCTGTAGGGTTTAAAAAGCACTTATCCAACAAAGTGTTATCACGACTGAGAATATTAAACGGTGGCGCGGGGGGGCACCGCCAGCTGCAGGGTTTGCCGGCACCCGAGGGAGCACAGCGAGGGGTTTGCGGCAGGAGGGGAGAGCCGGGGCATCTCCGCGGTCCCGTTACGGCACAGCCCAGCAAAACCCCACCGCGTCCCCACGGGTTTCCTCACACCCGAGTGGGGACTCCCCAAACTCCCGACTCACTCTGCTCCGTTTGCTGCCGGGACACAACGCCCAGCTCTCCCCGTGCCCCCCCGTACTTCTCCCCAAACCAAACACTCCCTTTGGTCCTCCTACAGAAGGAGCATCAGGACATGTGCTCAATCACCGGGTACCCACTAACCAGGAGGAGATACCTGGAGAAGAGATGACTCCGGGGAGACCTTAGAGCCCCTTCCAGTATCTGAAGGGCACCTACAAGAAAGCCGGAGAGGGACTTTTTACAAGAGTATGTAGCGATAGGATGAGGGGGAATGGCTTTAGACTGGAAGTGGGGAGATTGAGATGAGATCTGAGGAAAAGATTCTTGGCTGTGCGGGTGGTGATCCCCTGGGGCAGGTTGCCCCGAGAAGCTGTGGCTGCCCCATCCCTGGAGGTGTTCAAGGCCAGGTTGGACGGGGCTTGGAGCAACCTGGGCTGGTGGGACGTGTCCCTGCCCAGGGCAGGGGGGGGCACTGGGTGGTCTTCAAGGTCCCTTCCAACCTAAACCATTCTATTGCTCCATGCCAGCCCCAGAAAAAGTAATGTCTGAGACCGTCCCCATCCTCCTCAGGTGCTTTGATCAGGGATTAAATCAGTGAGCACGGCCCTGGCAGCACAGTAGGCATCTGCCTTCGAAATCTGCTTTTTCCCCTGATAGATTGGGAAAACGCATCCCCGTGGGAACCATGGCCGTGCTCTTTAGCAAACCCTCCACCAGGTGCCGAAATGCCATTTGGGCTTTGTTCTGTCTCTTCCATTCCATGTATATTTTGGCAAAGGAAGCGGCAGTGATGGGGGACTGACTCACGCAGCCCCTACAAACTCTTCTAACACCTCCCCAGAACCCCACTCCCCTTCCCGGGGCAGCGGCAGCTCGGCGGCGGCCGCAGCAGCGCGGCACAGCGCCACACAGGGCTTCGGGTTTGGCCACCGAGCAGCACCGAGCGCCTGGGATAAAGCGAACCCAAAGGTCCCTCGGCTGGCCGGCTCTGCCCACGGGCAGGATGCCGCGCGGCGGCACGGGCTCTGGGTTTTATCAGCACACGGCAGTTGTCTTGTGTAAATACAGCTGACGCGCCGCAGCTACTAAACGGGCATTTATCCGAGGAGTGTTTCTGCTCCTCTCCTGGAAGGACACTGCGGAGGGAAATATCAGCAGCAAACACGCAGGCAGGCGCTGCCCGGCTCCGTCCCGCGCTTCCCTTTGAATAGGCACTCAAACGTCTTTCTCTGCTCTCCTTTTTTCTTTTCTTTTTTTCTTTTCTTTTTTTTTTTTTTTCTTTCAGAGGGAAGAAATGAATTATTCTAGGAAAGTTAGTGCCTGTCTCAGGAGCCTGGTATAGAAAATTAGGTTTTAATAGCTTTGAAATTGAGGTTCTTCAGGTCAATAGGACAAGATTCTGCCGGTGAAATGACAGACCCATAAAGGGAAAAAAAGCAAATATTTTGTTACTCATCAGAGAGTCACAGTCCAAAGATAACAGGCAGTAGCTTAAAATACTGCTGTGCTCTTCAGGCTACTGTAATGTTTAGTCATAAGCTCCTTTTTTCTCTTGTTGTCTATATATATATTAGCTTTGGGAATGGAGCACTTGTCTTTCCGTCCTCAGACGTGCCTGGGAATTCCTCAAGTTACTGCTGGAATTGGAAAGTTTGCTCTGAAATAAAAGCACTCCGCCTTTCCAGATGGCCTCGGAGCCACCGCTCGCGGGCGCTTCAAGCCCATGAACCGGGGACCTGACGATGCCCCGTCAGACGGTGGAGCTCAGTGCAGGAGAGGACACGACGTCTGTCACTCGGTGTGGAGTCTCTCCGGCATTTCTGCTATTAGCAGCCTTTAAAAAAACCAAGTTGATAAAATGGAAGCATCCCACCCGTGTAAGAACAGGTAATTACGAGCTAGTTATCTGAAGGGGAAAAACGCAATGAGATAAAAACCAATGCGCTTTAAATGGAAAAAACATAAATAAGCTACAGACAATGCCCTTATTACCTGAGAGTTGGAGCTTGATCCCCCTTTTGCTAATTAAAACCAGAGCAAAATCAATTAAATGAAAAGCGGGAGACTTCTCGATGCCTTTTTCCCACGCAGGGAGAGGAACTGGAAATTGCCCGTCGGCGGGGCAGAGCCGGAGGACGGCAGCCGCGGAACCCAGCCGGGGCGGAGGCACCGCGGGCTGCCGGGAGTGCCCCAGGAGAAGGGCAGGAACCGGGGGCCACCCCGGAGGGGACACACATCGCCCGGAGGGGACGCACATCGCCCGGCGGGGACGCACATCGCCCGGCCGGACCGTCCTGAGCTGCCACAAAGAGAAAAGCTGCAAACTCAGCCAGCAGTGAAATTGCTTCAGCTCACGCAGGACGGAAAACTTTCAGAGAACTTCTGCCAACGAGCACTGGAATTATTTGACTCATTATTAAAGGGATGAATGGATTATAATTATCCCCAATTTCATATTCAGAGGTCATTACCATCCCTAAGAAGGGTTGATAGGGAGCCCTTGAGATCCTGCAAGTTACTTTAAATATTCATAGAGCTGAGAGACGTTTCTCATGGATCGGACTGGGAAAGCACCTCCGGCCGAAGGGTCCCGGCAGCTTCTCCCCCCACGGCCGCCGCTCCCCGAAGGAGCATCCCAGCCCGGGTATCGCTGTGCCGGTCACCCGGCGCTCGCCAGCCCACAGGGCTGGTGGTGCCAGCCCGGCACTCGCAGCTAACACGCCGTCGAGGGACTGTCCCCCGGGGAGCAGGAGGTGGACACCTCGGCAGTTTCTCCAGGTCCTTCGCTGCTTTGTGGCTACTCGGGGTTTTAGCTGCAGTGAGGCGAGACAGAGGAAGGCCACGGCGAGTGCGTTCTCGCCCTGATGCACATGAGTCTGCTCGCACCGCTGCTGCGGGAATGCACCCCGAGGGCTCCCAAAGGGGCTCCGCGACGGCGCAGACACAACTGCCGCTCACCGACCGCCAATCTCCTCCTGCGAGCACCAGCCCAGTCCCAACTTCCACCTCTTTAGATAGACCGATGCACGGGGAACTAATGAGATACTGCCTCCGCGGGGCCGCAGAGGGCTGTGGGAGCTGTCACCTCGGACAAACTCCCAGGGAAATCCGCAGGCTGAATTTTTCCATAGGCCTTTTATTCTCGAGTGGCAACAGGTCATCCCTCCTGCCTCCCACGGGGAGCCTGGAAACGCTCCCCAGAGCGGAGAATGGATGCGCCTGGCTTGCCGCTTTCAGCACGCCCGGACTCCCCG